GTGACCCATTTACTCCACATTGTGTCAAACTCCTCCTCAAGCATATGTTCATCTGTTCCTGTATGTTTCAGTCTCAAAGCTAGTTCCTTGCTCCGAATGAAAAGCTTGTTTTCATATTCTGTCCTTCTTTGATCCAGCTGCTCCCTGGCTTGTTTCTGTTCAATCGCTTCATCTAACTTTCTTTTTGTTCCCTTCACAAGGTCATCATGAAGCTCTTTGATTCTGGTTTCAAATCTTCCTCGCCATTGGCACAGAATGTCTTTGTCTTTGTCCTCCTCAAAGTAAGACATGATTGATTTTTCTACCTGCTCCTTTGTCATCCTCATGTCAGCCAACAAGTCATTTTCCTGAACGTTAATGCTTCCATTAGCAATTCTGTTGTAGAATTTGTCTTCAATGCCGATCATGGCACTTCTGAGGCTCCACGTCCAGTCACTGTATTTAGTTTCCAATTTTCTGTATACCGCAATCTCAAGTGTGTTTTTGAAGCTGAACACAAAGTTTTCATTCAGCAGTGCACTCCACAGATCATTAATACGCACTCTGAACTGAGACAGTGTAATGCCATTAGAATTGGAAGCTTTTGAGAGAATGGTGTCCTTTAACTCCTGAATATTTCTGCTGTAGTCGGGGTTCGGTGGTGCCATTGGTGGGCTGCCTTCCCAGAGCTGTGCAAAATACTTCACATCATTTTGAACGTCAAATGTAATGACGTCACTGAAAAACTCTGTATCACAGTCTTCCTCTTTAGCGGCGAGTTTAGTCATCTCATCCAGTTTCTCCTGCAGTCGTCTCCTTCCCTCCATGTTTTTCTCTCCAGCTGTAACATCAGAAACGTTCTGATGCACAAACATGCAGCTTGGATTCAGTCTGATCTTCTTCATCCTCATGAAGGCCTGAACAACAATCTGAAGAATGTCCTGCATCTCAGCTGTGTTTTCTCCGAAGACGTTGATCAATGTCATATTTCCAAGACCAACAACAAATGTGGCCATTTCATTGTCGTGATTTCTTGTTGCCCTTCCGGCCAGTTCTAGGGCACGAAGTCCTTCAGTATCAACAACTAGAATGTAGTCAAACTTCAGCTGTGCTTTCATCTCCTCCGACACTCTGACCAGCTGCATGAAAGCTCCTCTGGTGCATCTGCCAGCACTGACGGCAAACTGCAGTCCAAACATAGCGTTCAGCATGGTGGATTTCCCAGAGCTCTGAATCCCTAAAACTGACAACACATAGACCCTCTTGTCTCCCAGTTTCTGGATGAGTGCATCAAGAACAGCAGTAACCCAGATCAGAGGAACATGGGCAGCATCACCATCCATCAGCTCCAGAGGAAATCCAGAGATCATCATCTCTGCTGCAAGACTTGGAAGAGAGGAGAAGTTAAACTGGAGATCTTTTTTGTTTTTCTTTACAGATGAACATGATTCATATATCTGGCCGATCTCTCTCAGTATGTGCTCCAAGCCAAAAGTTGCAGCTTGTAGTTTCTCAGATACTCTCTCAAGTTCGTCTTGTGCTGCTGTCATTTGCTTCGATTTATCATGTTTCTTTTTAAGATTGAGGACTGTTGACCATTTTTCATCATACTCATGAAGAAGGGCTGAAAGACTTTCAGTAGTGTAATTGTCTAGAAGGATGCCCAGCCATTTAAAAAAATATGCCACCTCATTTCCTAGGTGTGAATTCAGTTTTTGAATATAGATTTGGATAAACTGACTCAAGACAGATGTTTGTTGCTGTTCACGGATTTTCATCATTTCTGATTGCTTAGAACAATTGTTTTTTTCTATGTTGCTTCCCTTATGTAGTTCTCCTAATGTAGGTCGATGAAGTTCTTTATTCTTCTGGCACCACTGATGCCACAGTTTTCCCTGCAATGGCAGAAACGATTCTTTGATTTTAGTCAGATCTTTATCCTCCAGTAAAGTCATCATCTGCTGTGCTGCCTGTTTTCCACTCCTGAGGTCTTCATCATTGTCCTCATCTACTCTGATATCAGAATATCTGGCCACGTCTTCAAGCTTGAAAATAGAAGATGACTCTAAAGACAAGAGCCCATTATTTATAGCTCTTCTGATTTCTTCAAAAACGACTGACTGATTTCTGTCTTTCAAACCGATTTTGTATTTCCCTTTCCGCATTTCTGCGAGAGCTGAATCATTGTCAGTAAGAAGGCAGATGAGTGGCTTTGAGTCCTTGTAGAAGGTTTGGATCTTGGTCATGCTTTTGTCATTCTTGTCAAGTTGTGGTAAAATAGCAACATTTACAGAGGCCATTTCAGTCAGGATACCCAGCTGCTTTTCATGGGCTCCTGCATCACCATGGAGGTTACAGAACGCAACACAATGAGTAAATCTGTCTGTTTTCTCTCCAGATGGACAGTACCAGGCAATCTCCACCACTCCGTCCATCAGCACTCTGGTTCTGCTGCTGCCTGGGCAGTTCCTGTGGAAGAATGTGTTGTGTTTCTCATTGATCAGGCTGTTCATCAGCTGAGACTTGGATGAGGATGCAGGACCAAAACTGAAGAAAGCCACCATTGGGGTTTCTGCCTTGTAGACTGGCAGGTATTTGCTAGAGATTTTACCTGTATCATCAATTGTCTTCCAGCTCTTGTTAATTTGTCGAAATGTCCAGAGTGGGAACTCAATCTGTTGTGTGAATGGATTGGGTACAAGCAGAGGCAGAGCATACTGACACTGTGAGAGTTTAGTCACCATAAGCTGCTTTAGGAAACTATCAGCACAATGAAACACAGCCATCTGAACATCCATTAAGTGGACTGCATCTAATTTGTTTGTTTCATCTGAGGGTTTAGCAGTTTCTCCAAAAATAGTATCAAAGGCATCAGCATCATCTTCAGATGAGTCATTGTTACTTTGTTGTGTGTGATGTTGTTCATTATTCTCTTTTATCTGGAGGTATCTTGCTCTGTAGTCCATCATCATCAATTTTTGTAGAAAAACTGAAGCCAGCTCCTCTTCTGCACAAGAATCTTGGGACTGTACAATTGGCTTAAGAAAATCTACAGTTCTCAATTTCTGATGTTTTCCTTTAAGATTAATCCTGTCAATTAGTTGCTCTGCACCCTGTTGAAAGTACCATAATACTTGTAAATAGAAGTTTGAAAAGCCATGGAAAAGAATGTTAATTTGTACACTTTCTGATAATTTAATAAAATTTAGAACATATGACAATTATAAAATATGCAGCCTGATCTCACTGTTAGGCTATGCATATTTGTATGTATTTGCAGGTACAAAAACATACATATTTGTACATTTGAATAGATGCTGAAACTTACCAAACATTTTAATGACAGCATCTAAAACATTAACACTATTACATATTTACAGCTGTAGAAACATAAATCTGTTATCATCAATATCGTAAATCAAAATTGTACTATTTTTACATATATTTTAGATCCTTTTCTCCTACCTTCAAACCTAACCACTTTTAAACAATATAAAAAACACAGATAAATGTACAGTGACAATTATTTTAGAGCTGCTAATCCTACTCCAGATGACGAATTGATTACCCTTCAAGGTGAAAATATGAAAAACTATATATTATTTATATATATATATAATGTATATATATTTATATATTATTTATGCATATATTTCTTACCTTTTGTTTTTCTCCTTCATTGGTTAGATCCAAGCTCCCCAAAGGCTGTGTGATAGTGTCACCGATGCTTACTTCTATTTCTGCACCTTGATTTTATGAAAACAGAGTAAAAGATTCTTTGGTAGATCTTTTGAAGAATTTTAAACGAACAGCACGATCAGACTTCCGATTCAAGTTCCAACTCCGCTCAGTTAATTCTTTAATGCAGGCTAATTCAAAAACACCAATGCTGACTGAGCCATTAACAAATGACATAATAAAATAAAGGCACAAGTGGCAATTATGAACAGCAGTAAATTCAGTCATATCTTGCAATATCACATTAAGTTTGGACATTGTGTTCAGCAGATATATGTCGATTTGTATAATTGTAAGAAGAAGTTGACAAGTGCTTTTTCTTTTTCCAAAAATTTTTAAATGGAGGACAATTTTTCTCACAGTGAATTATAATTGTTTTTATATTTTTTTTTACTCTAGCCCTTATGGTTCCAGAGTTCTGAAATAAAACATAAATTATAGCGCCACTTAGTGTCCAACGGAGTAGTAGCTCAAACTAATGTTAAAGTTCCCTTTTGGTCATGTTATAGTGCCCCTCTGATCTGGCCAAGGGAACATGATTTAATTTTGCCCCTGCCCAAGCGGAGGTCTGTGCACACCACTGCTACAAATAGTATTGAGATCATGTTGAATTAAAAATTTTGAGACTTAATTCCACTAACAACTTCCATATGAATTAAAATATAGGAAAAGGACATGACATGTGGCCAAGTATGGTGACCCATACTCTAGATTTGTGCTCTGCATTTCACCCATCCAAGTACACACACACACACACACAACAGTGAGTAGTGAACAAACACTCACACACACACACTGTGAACACACACCCGGTTGCTCAAGGGTCTCACCTCAGTCATGGTATTAAGGGTAGAAGAGAGCACTGGTCATTCACTCCCCCCACCTACAATCCCTGTTGAGTACCGAGACTCAAACCCGCGACCTTTGGGTTACAAGTCTGACTCTCTAACCATTAGGCCACAAAAGGGAGTTAGTAAGACAAAAATCAATATAGAGTCTGTGTTACCACTTTGATACTCACTGTTTTGTGGGTCTCTCAAAGAGCTGTACATCTCTCTGGTGTAGCACTGCTGATTATTGTCAGTGAACAGACGCTTGATTCTGTCCATCAATTCTCTCATCTCTGATTTTTTGTTCATGATCTTGCTGCAGGTATGATATCTTCCTCCACATTTGTTCAGCAGCTGCTCCAGAACAGAGTTGTTCTTCAGGTCATCTATTACAGTGTCACACTCTTCCTCTCTCTCATAGGTGAAGACAATAATCACAACTGAAAGAACTCTGTCACCAAATATTCTCTGTAGCCATTCAATGCCCATCTTATCAGCATCTGTTAACTGGCCCAATCGCACAACAAAGATGAAGGCATGGATTTCATTTTCATTCACTAGTTGATCAATAACATGATTGAGAGGTTTGAGATCAGTCTCATGTGAGCCAATCATATTTATCACTGAGACACAATGTTCTGATATCTTCCTCTGTAATGGAATGATCATGGGAAATTCTGCATTAAGACAGAGTTGTTTCTCTCCAAGTAGAATGTTGTCACATCCAAACTGGACAGCATCAGCACTTCCAAATAATGCAACAGTCAAATCAGGATCCATGTGATCTAAAGTAAACAACAAAGAACTGTTCTCAAACCCAGAGATAAGAACGGCACCATAATATAAGATAATGTGATAGTGCTTCTCAATGATATACACTACCAGTCAAAAGTTTGGAATAATTAAGATTATTAAGAAACAGTTATTTTAAATTGTAACAATGTTTCACAATATTCTGTAATGCTGCCTTAGTGAGCATAAAATACTTCTTTCAAAAACGTAAAAAACAATTGCAATTATTCCAAACTTTTAAATAGTAGTTGCATTTCTTAAAAGGGTAGGCCGTTTCTGTGCCACTAGTGACACCTTACTTTTTCTACACTGGTTAATCACCCTCTGGTCAATCACCTCTGGAAATGGCTACAGCAGCCATGCCCTCTCACTATTGGCTGTGTGGACTTTCAACCATTATTACAACATTTCTGGAAGAAACTGCCTACCCTAGGGCTAACTGTGTTGCTGTGAGATGAATCATACATTCATCAAGTACAAAGTACAAAGAAGCTATGTTTGCATTACCATCAAGTTTTGGGTTACTCCCTTCTTCTACTGGCTTCACTTTATCCTGGAGAAAGAACAACAAATTATCTGTTTCTAATTACCATGATTATTTAAAGGTTGCATAATTGTGCAAGAGCAAACATTTACATGCATTTATGCAATGTGACCAAAAGTACGTGGACATCTGAACATCACATTTGTATGTTTATTCTACATCTGGGCCTTTTGTAGAAGGGGCGTAGCTGCTGAACTAGCCAAACCTGTAAATTTGAATGGAGTGTCCACGTACATCTGGCTCTGTAGTGTGTGTAAAGTTCAGCAAGAAAACTGACATTAAAAAGACATTTCTTTTCTTTTTGAATTACACGCTTCATACTCTGGCATCACTGTGAAAATCCACTTTTGAAGCCTTTATTTTAAGAGTGCTATCACATTTACCTCGTGTTCTTCACATGCTTTATTTGAGGTTCCTGGAGTGTTTACACCAAGGTCTTGATCAAGAGATATTAAAGGAACTGGAGTTGGTTGCATCTGAAACTCTATTTTAGTGGCTGAGTCTGTCACAACTGAGTCATGATTGTCATAATTCAAGTTGTCTGTATATCTTTCATCATGTGCCACTGGAGGATTGTCCATCACATTATCTGGAGTTTGATGTGTCGCTGGAGAAGGAGCCAAGACATCATCTGCTTCTTGATCTGTTTCATGAGGATTGTCTATAATGTCGTCTGTATATTGATGTGTCACTGGAGGATTGACATAATCTGGATTTTTATATGAAACTGCAGAAGTGTCCATGACATCATCTGAATCTCCATATGATTCAGGAGAGGTGTCCATGACATTATCATCTGTACCTTGAGCCATAATTATATGACTGGGAAGAAAAATAAACATTAACCAGGTTTGGTAAATCAGACAAGACAATATACAGTCACCTTAAAACGTATTTGAACACGCTTTTGCACATTCATCACACTCTTGCACATACACAAAATGCATTAGTTACGAAATATAAAAAAAACAAAGTGACATCTGCAAAAACATAATGCTTTAACTCCAAAAAAGTTTTATGTAATATGTAAAATATGAGTTTGAAATGCTGTTTGCATAAGTGCATGGCAGTTAATAAACCAGACACCATATGGCTCATACTCCACTCCCTAATAAGCAACCCCTATAGCTTCTTATAGCTCTGACCCCCAGGGGACCATTTATAAAGCAACATTAAATAGCATAATAGTTTATTGGTTATTTAGTGAAGCAAATTAATAAAGTTACAAAGATGAAATCTTATGAATATGTCTTTGGCAAAGAACAAATAAAGGTTGTGGATGCACATGATTCAATGTAAATCATCTAATAAAAAACATTAACATAACACCAAAACATGTTTTTTTTAATCAAATAGCTTTTCAGTAGTGAAGCTCTTATGTTGATCAAGTAGTGCGGTAGTGTCCACACAAGCTACATTTTCCCAAGCATTTCTGAAGCTCAAGCTCAAATCGGAAATACAACTGCAAATGATCACTGATCCTGGATCAGTTAGTGAAGCCACCGCCATACACGGACCTGTGTAGCCGACAGTATAGTGAAGCTTCATTTAATGTAGAGTAACTACTAGCTGAGCTCACTACATTTTCCAAGTAGCTTGCCCAACCCTGCACCAAAAATCAAATATAGACTAAATATATATTAATATAACGTATAACAAATAGCATGAAGAAAATAATAATAATAAAAAATAAATAAAATCACCTGTTGATCAGCGACTGGAATCGATCCAAGCTTGGCCTCAATATACTGAAAAAATTCAAAAATTACACACTGCTTATGAAGGGTGATCAAATTCTTACTCAGAGAATCACAGACAGCCTCATATATAATCATACAACTTCAGCCTCTCAATGATAAAGTTCATAGTGATTATCTCTATAAATCTTAGGACATATGTAGTTCACACCTTACTTGCTTTAAAAACTGAACTGGTCTGGAACAACTACAAATGAAAATGTGAGCTACAGAGAAAATAGGTTACTTGTTCAAACAAATCACGTGATTTCTGGTAAACAATAAAGTACTTGTTACATAAGCAGCACCCCACCTTATTTGCCTAGATTTAACTACATGACGTATAAAAAACAGCTCTACCTAATACACTGATCCAATACATGTTTATTAGAAAACCACAAGAAAAAAAATATTGTAGCGATAAAGCTTATTTAAAATGGGTAAACGAGTCAAAGTTAAAATAATACCTCACAGAAGGTATGTAGAAAGTAAGAGAACATTTCAGGTTATAAATGTAACCATGGTTCCCTGAGAAGGGGGAAAGACGATGGGGAAAGCCATCTGCATGACCAATGTCTAAAGGTGTGTGAAAACCTGCGACAGTCACTGACACCATAGGTGGAATGCCCAGAAGTAAAAGAGGGATCCCGTAATATATGTCAACAACTTCTTTGTCTGAAGGAGATGTGCAGGCATGCCCAATGGCATGGCAATGAGACACACTGTCTTGTTCCCCTTCTCGGAGAACCAGGGTTACATTTGTATCATAAGATGTTCCCTTTCAAAGTGGAAATCAACAAGGGGAAGTCGTGGCCTAATTAGAGAGTCAGACTCATAACCCAAAGGTTGTGGGTTCGAGTCTCGTACCGGCAGGAATTGTAGGTGGGGGGAGGGAATGTACAGCGCTCTCTTCCACCTTCAATACCACGACTGAGGTTCCCTTGAGCAAGGCACCGATCCCCCAACTGCTCCCCGGGCGCCGCAGCATAAATGGCTGCCCACTGCTCCTGGTGTGTGTTCACTGCTGTGTGTGTGCACTTTGGATGGAGAGCACTAATTCCTAGTAACCACACATGTCATGTCACTTAACAACCCTGCCCCTTTTGTCTCGAAGTGTAAAGTGCCCCTTTCTTCTTATAGTAAATAACAATAATAATAATAAAAAATACCATTTGCCACTAACAATAATAATAAATACAAAATAAAATATTTTGAACAAACTTGTAATGAATTGATAATGAGTATTTTGGTGGACATATTAGGTGGAGGTGGAGTGGTAGGCCACTCTTAACCGCGACAGATAACATAGAAAATTTACATTTATCCTACCATAAAGCTGTTGTAAACTTAGCGAATGCGGGAGCATACGAGTTATGCTTAATTATAATAAAGGTGTAACTTGATTGCTGCCACATTTCTGACATTGACATTTAATTTGTTTTTATCAAAGGACAAGCAAAGTTTACAATATCAACAAAACTAAACATGAATTCAACATGACTAACTTGATTCTCACTGCTTAGTTTGGTAAAGTAAAAGTGAATAATATTTAGTAATATCATCATCTCTCTATTTTTGTTTGATGTGTTATGCATTCTATTACTATCAACGTCTTTCATAGAATGCCAAGGAAAGAAAATATAAAAAGAAAAAAAACATTATATAAAAGGATCTCTCTGATGCACCCAAAGGCAGCATCCCTCTCACAAGTTGGCTGAGGAGAGAGAATAAAGATAAAGGTACTGTTTCAATTTCTTAAGCTAATAAGCTGTTATACTTATATCACAGTCCATAAAATAGGTTACACTATTTTAATTTGTTTCTGTGTGTGAGTGTGTGAACAAATTCAGATGCAACCCCCTTTGTAATCGTTAACATTTTCATAAGTAACTAATTTAATTACATATTTTTCTCAGTAACTGTAACTGATTACAATTACATTTATTTTGTAATTAAATTACGTAATTCCGTTACATGTGTAAGGATAAAAGAAACTAGAATACTTTGATCTCCTGAGAGGCAAACAATGCACTGGCATCTTCAGGACACCCCACAGAGGGGTGGTGCGGGAAACGCCTCTCTCACATATGCATCTGTGCCTTTTCATCTCCTCCCTCCACTGGATTCACTCAAACTGGTCAAGAATATAATGTTCTAAATGAATGCAAATAAGATTTACAGTCATGTTTGGTTTCATTTGAATAGTTTCAGGGCAAGTGGTACAATGGTCTTAATCTTACTAAAAGATAATACAGATCCTAAGAGTTAAGAGAAACTTTGATCACCGTAGAGAGCAATCCCATGCAAATTACCTTTTGTTACCACCCAGGTCTGGGACCTGGCTTAATGCAAATTCCAATTGTTTGTACAGGCCTCCATTTGGAGGATGTATTTACTTGGTTTGGTATTTAAAGGACTGCAGCAAAAGGGTCAGCGCGATTCTGTAACGAGAATGCCCGTAGTACAGAGTATCTCCACACACTCTGTACTATGTATTTTTCTAATACATCTAATACATTTAATCTCAGATATGCATTTTACTCTTAGATTCGTCGTTGAGAGTTTGATGTCTTGTATTGATTTGATATCGTTGAATTGGCTGTGGAGATAATTGGCATAATACATATTTACCTGACTGATAATAAATTGTTACATTTAATTCATTC